CTGCGGAGGAGACGGGCGGCCCGGTTGCACAGCCCGCCGGCAAGGGAAGGAAGTCCTCCAGAGCAGGGCGCAAACGGCCCCGACAGGGACTGGGGCAAAACCCCGGGCTCCGCCAGGCCACAGCCCAGCAGCCACGGGCCCCAGATGCCGTGTCCCTGACAGTTGCCGTGTCCCTGACAGATGCAGAGGACAAGGCGGAGCCCACAACCAGGCACCCAGCAGCGCACCGGGGGCTGGAGCCCAGCTCCCCAGCAGCAATGACCGTGTTGGGAAAAGACCTCACTAGACGAAGGCAAGTGCTGGGAAGAGCACAGCAAGGGGCTGGGGGCTCAGCACACCCTGCCTCCACGGCCCGCCTTCGAGACAGCAGCGTCAGACCCAGTCCAGGCGCAGAGCGGGCCAGTGTCGTGGCCGTGCCTGCCATGGAGGGGCACAGGCAGCAGGGTGAGTGGTGCTGGGGGCAGAGCATGTGCTGCTGCTGGGGTGTCCTGAGGCCTCAGCCTGCTGGGCTTGTGTTCCCAGGGTGCCCCTCACCATGGTGCTGTTCTCAGGCCTAGGCAGGGTGTGCAGGTGCTACAGGCATCTGGATAAGTGCGAGCACCAGATTGCACCCCATGAGGTGAAGTATCAGCTGCACAACGTGTACCCCTTTTTTCAACTGCACTCGCAGGTGTGTGTCCAGGAGGAAAAGGCAGGGCTTTTCCCACCATCACGGGGCACTGTGTGCAAATGGTTTGGGGTCAGATGAGGTGGGACTCAGCAGGATGTGCATGCTGGCCAGTGGCTGCTGACCGCTGCCCTCCTGTGCCCGCAGCCTGGCACGGTTCCTGCGTAGAGTGAGGTACCTCAGTGACGCGGAGGTGGCTGTCCTGGCTGACCGCATCGCCACACACTGCTTTGTTCTGGAGCCACCTGCTGACTGCAGCCAGGGCAAGGGGCAACAGCACAAGTAAGTGCAGAGGGGCAGGGAAATGTGGCCTGGATGGGGCTTCCTACCCTGCATAGGCAGGAGGGATACCCTGGCAGGCCAGGTGCTGTCCTGTGGGCTTGGCATGAAGCTGGCATTGCAAGCATTATCCCCTGCCCTGCTGTGCCATGAGCAGGGCTGGGGTGGAAGGCAATGGATGTCAGTGCTGCAGTGTTACACTAATGATCGCAGCTTTGCTTCTCTGGCAGCTGTATCACACCCACCCAGGCTGTGCTAGTACCTGCATGGCATCTCAAAAAGATGCTGAGGCGCTGGGGTCCCCTGCACGTCACCTCCAAGGCTGAGCGTCCAGACTGGAAGACACGGGACAGTAGTGGCACCCTCTACGAGCAATGCCTGCAGCTGGCCTTGGAGCAGAAGCTGGGTGCTCAGCGCCAGGCAGTGTCCTGACGATGTCTGAGCAGCACTGCCTCGTGTGGGGAGGAAGATGTGCTGTGCAGCAGCCACAGAGTGGAGCTGCTCGATTTCTGGTCCTTGAGACAAAGGATGGCACTTGAGCATGGCTGCTGGCATGACTGCATGGAGCTGAAGGGGCCACAGCTGGAGCAGACAGAGGCACTGACAAGCCTCTTAAGGAGCTGTGGGTGCCATCCATGAGCATAAGGGCAAGGAGAAAGGAATAGGAGGGCTTGGGAAAGGAGAAACTCGCCATCTTCCTTCCCTGTTGTGCCCTGGGCCAAGGGGGATGCTCTGGGCATTGGATGGCAGGGGCCCTAAGCACTGTGGTGTGATCCTGGCCCCCCTTCCCCAGCCAGGGTGGGAGGTGGGCAGGGTGCAAGGGAGGGTGGGGGTCTGTGCTGGTTCCCAGCTCTGGAGTAAGGTGGGGGCAGGCCCAGGGCTCTTCCCTGGGGAGGGGTCTGTCCCTGTGTGCAGCAGAAGATAAATAAAAGGTGGTGCCAGGGCTGAGCCTCCTGCCCCCTGTTCACACTGTGGCCCCCACCCTAGGGGGGCTGATCCTGCCTCCCTGCAGTAAGCACAGTGCAGCTCGGCAGAGCAGGATGGTTTATTTTGTCACTTGCACTATGTCCAAGGCTGAGGCACAGTGGTATCCGCAGGGAAGGAGCAAGCTTTGATCTCAGGGGAACTCTGGGGTGGTACTCGCTCTATGCCCATCGCCACCACTGCCAGCACCTTGCCCTGGCCTCCTGTCCCACCTCAGCACTCCTCCCATAAGACCAAAGGGTCTCTCACTTTGAATTTCATGAGGGGTACCCTGCCACCATGCAAGACCAGCCTTGCCCTCCTCTGTGCCACCACCCAGCCCTACTAGGGCTGCAGCTCAGGCTGTGGGGAGCAGGGGGAGGTCCCTACCTGCTAAGCACACAACAGGGGTGACAAGTTGCTGTAATAAATAAGGGAGAGGGGTGTCTCAGCAGGGAAGGGGCAGAAGAAAGCATAGGGCAAGGGCACTAGAGGGAGGAGGGACGGGGGCCACTGTGTCAGCGGCCCATGGCACAGCTACGGCTGTCCAGCTCCTGGAGGTTGCTCCCCTCCTTTGGGGAGGTGCTGCAGCCTGGGGGGCTGGTGGGGCTTATCCTTTGGCAGGGTTAGCCCTGGTCCACACTCTCCTGCCGCCAGCCCATGGCCTGGTTGATCATCTCCAGGCGGAGAGCGGGCAGCAAGCCCAGGTTCCTGGGGTCAGCCTTGGCCAGGGGGCTGCCAGCAGAGGCACGCCAGGGGCCACCCTGCTCCTGCACAGTCTGGGAGAAGGAGCGGCCCTCCTTGCTTTCAGCTGCCCGCCCTGGCTCCTTGGCTTTGGCTCCACAGTGCCCTGGTTCCTCCTGGGGCACATGGATGGTGGGGATGTCCCCCGGGAGGCCTTGGCGGCTCTGGGGTGAAGGGCTGCGGCTTGTGCCCCTGTCCCGGCTTGATGGCC